AAAAAAAAAAGTGTCAAAAGAACAAACATGATACAAAAAGCATGTGTAATCCCTACACCCAAACTCCCCCACTCATCAGTCATCACACCAATATTTGACTTAGTTATAATTATTATTTTCTTTACTATACTTAAGAAGTTACAAATCAAGTAGCTTTGCTTTTGTACATACACCAAAAGGAAACACACCAACAAACACACGAATAAGTACAAAAACCACCTTTTTGGGGTGCCTATAAAAATAGTTGACCAACTTCACACACATTACATTTCATCACCTTTCTATAGATGATTTAACCCAAAAAAAAAAAAGAAAAGTGCACATGCATATAAATATTGCATCAGCTCCCGAAATCATGACGTCATCACATTTCAAGAACCTTTCATAATCTCACTATATATTAGAGATTATTAGCTCTTCCACTTTCATTTATCTCTATATGTCACCAAAAAAGTTCAAACAGAGTAACTCCATAGCTCCACCTCAGCATCGCTCTCCACGTCATCATTCCACCCCAAGCTCCCCTCGTACCACCGTGGCGGCGACATCAGCGCCCCGTCACCCTCCCCCAAACCCCCCTCCGCCACCTCGAATTCCCCGCCCCACCCGGAGCAGCCCCCGTCGGGCCCCCGATCTCCCGAGACCCCTTTCCCGGCGGCCTCCTCCTCCTCAGCCGCCGCCGGACGAAAGGCCTCCGCCGCCTCGACAGCCGCCCGCCGGATGTCCGCTGGGTCGGCCGTCGCCGGCGCCGGCAGGCGCCACACCGAGTCAGCGAAATTGAGGCACGCTGCGTGGCGGCCGCGCAATGCTAAGGCCGCCACGTCGTGCGCCCGGGCGGCCATCTCGGCAGTCGGGTACGTCCCGAGCCATATCCTCCGCTGCTCGGCCGGCTCGCGAACCTCGCACACCCACTTGCCGGAGTTCCGGCGGCGCACGCCGCGGTAGACCGGGTGGCGGGTCTCCTTGAACTTTTTCCGGCCGGCGCGCTTCTTGGGGTGGCTGGCGGCCAGGATCACTTCCTCGTCGGAGTGGGACGGCTGTTTGTTGCGGTTGGAGTCCATCGAGAGAGAGAGAGGGAGAGAGATTTTTTAGATATTTTTTTGAAGTGTTTTGGTTGGGCAATTAATTAATTAATTAATTAATTGTTATTTAATTAATATGATTGACTGAGTGAGGTGTGTGCATATATATGTTTATTGGGATACGCCATGAACGCGGGGAAGCTGAGGAGATTTGGTGGGTGCCAACGTGGCGGGAGTGTGGCGCGAGCTGGTTTCACACTTTGAGTTTGGAATCTTACAGCACAAGGTTTTATTGTTTTTTTTTTTTTAATTTATTGTGGGATCCACCTGGCAAAAGGTAAAACGTGCTTTTATTGTGATGTGGCAAATTGTACTTTATTTTATTTTATTAATTCTTTATTCTGCCTTTTTTGTCTTAGTATTCAGCCACGGTATCCGGAGCTATGTCCCAACTAATCCGTTGGTCGACCCGAGTCGCACACCTAGCAGTAGTGGGTGAGTCTCCCAACAAGAGTTTTCTGCATCCACAAGGATTCGAACCCGAAGCTATGCCCCGACTAATCCGTTGGTCGACCCGGGTCGCATACCTGGCAGTGGTGGGTGAATCTCCCAACAAGAATTTTCTGAATCCACGAGGACTCGAACCCGAGAATTTGTTTAAGCCACATCAAGCTGCTTACTACTTGAGTCAACCCCTATTGACAAACAGTTGACTATTTTTTTTTTTTTGGGTCAAACTTTGGTTTGCTAGTTGTTGTACGACTTTCAACTGCTAACACAAAGCACGGTTCTGCTGGGAATCAAACACAACTGCTGCCTGTAAGTAAAAATTTGATTTTGTATGGATTTTACTCTCTATTTGTAAACTAGAGTTTTTGAAAATGATTAAAAGTGAAATCAATTTTAGGCTTAATTTGATAAAATTATTTCCGAACCGGAAATGTGGGGAAAAAGTAAACTTTTACGGCTGAAAATAGCTCCAATAAAGCTAGCTAGACTGTTGTCGCACCTGCTGGTACCAAAAAAATGCTGACTCAATTCGAGCACATATTTTCGGCCGAGATGTGTCATTTTGACCAGTCACGATCACTAGTCAAATCGGCTCGTGATCAATGGGCCTTGAACCGAGCCTGCGTTTTGACCGGGCCGATTCGGTTTAGAGAAACCCATCCCACCATTGACCTTTGGCTTAGAGAGGAAAGCCCAATCACACTAGTGAATTTTTCCCTTCCCATTTTCTGTTTTGCCCACCAAAAGTTAGAGTCTAAACCCTGCAAATTTTCTCACAAATTCCACTAGGCAACTTGAAACAAGATATCACAAAAGTGGATAAAGCCTATAGGCATACTAATTAAGACCTCTCTACCTGCTTCACTTATGAAAAAAAAATGAGTAATTACGCGACTTTGTTCGTTTATTTGAATTCTTTAATTTGCATTTGTTCAAATTTTCCTGTTTGTGGTTCGTGTTTGCTGATTGATCGAAAACCGCTCTATGTTGTTCTTTGTAAATTCAAATCCGTATCTCCAACATTAACCCTAGTTTATTACACTAGGCTACCTGAGCTTTGGTGTGTAAAAAAAAAAAAATTAAAATTAACTCGAGTTGCATTATTCACTTTTATTATACTTGATTTTTAATGTTAACAAGCAAGCTATATGAGTGTTTATTATCGATTTCAAAGTTTGTATCTATTTTTTTTTTTTTATTGTGTTTATATCAAATATATATAGGAGAATTGTTCAAAAATATATATATATAGGAGAGGACTAATAGTAAAAATATAAAAAATGAACATTAATAATAAATAATAAATGGTTGTAGGTACTAAAAAAAGTAAAAATTTAATTAATTTATAAAAAAATTAATTAATTAATCCTCAATAACTAAAAAATAGTGATTTATAAAAATTTACTTTTTTTTCCTTGTTTAATTAATTTCATTTAATTAAGTGATTTTTTTTTAGATAAAAATAATCAATGAATTAATAAATCTAGTGGTGGTCATAAGAAGGTCCACGTATAAGACGTGTTTAGTGTGGGCCATTGGTTGTTAATTATTTACTCTAGGCTTTTGATTATATAAAGGGAGACAGCCTTTTTTTCGGCTTGATTAATGTGGGGTACAACTAATTAAGTATACTTATTAAATAACTTGTGCGTTTTTAATCATCATTATAATGGGGTGAAATCAGTGTCCAGTAAGAGTGAACTACGCCCTAATTAGACTTGTGTTAAGCATTAATTAATTCCTTATTTATTGTTTCCCTCATTTTTTTTTTCACCAACTTTCCTAATCCAAAGTGATTTTGATTGATGTTTTAGAATCATATTAAAGTATGTGACCCTTGTGTCCTAATTATTCTATTTTCTTGCTTTTTTTTTTTTTGGGGGTACAATTTTTGCTTTCTTTATTTAGGTCGGACATGGATATCATACATATCGGTTTCGCTATGAAATCAACCGCTGGGTTCATAGTAGAACTAACATTCTATATACAACAAATAGACCATACCTATTATTTGATTACTTAAATAACACTAATAATTTTGAAATCAACCCTCCAAAGTATCTTGAACCTATTATAAAATGCGGGGAATATAAAAAATACAATGTATAAAAATCGGATATAAACTGTAACAGACTTTCTTTCACTTTTCTTTTTCGTACAAAATCACAATGGTTCTCTTGCCTTTTATAGGCAAAGTCATGCACGCACTTCTATACATACACACATTACAATGTATTGTGATAAGATAATGTAAATAAGATTTACTAGTGGTAATTCCACTTTTACATAACACTCCCCCTTGGAATTACCACTATTAAATGTGCGTTTATGTTGCCTCGTTAAAAACCTTATCTGGAAAAACCCTGTGGGAAAAAACCGAGATAAGGAAAAAAGAGTACAGCCGCACATACTCCCCCTCGAATTATCATCCGTGCAAATCCCGAAGATGTCTCATTTCAATATTGTGCACGTGCTTTCGAAATATTGTCGTCGGAAGCGCCTTCGTTAACAAATCTGCTGCATTATCGCTTGATCGGATGTATTGAACTTTGATTTGTTTTTTTCTTTCAAACTCTTGCGCATATAAGAATAACTTTGGCGGGATATGTTTAGTTCTGTAATTCTTGATGTATCCTTCTTTTGTTTGAGCGACACATGCTGCATTGTCCTCGTATATCACCGTCGGGTCATTATTGTTCAATAGTCCACTGGCTTGTTGAATATGTTGAGTCATGTTTCTGAGCCAGATACTTTCCCTACTTGCTTCATGAAGTGCAATGATCTCAGCATGGTTTGAAGACGTCGCAACTAACGTTTGTTTCTGAGAGCGCCAAGAGAATCGTAAAAACGTATCCAGTTTGAGATCTTGCTTTATGGGGATCTGAGAGATATCCTGCATCTGCAAAATCGATTATTTCATGTTTTTTATCGTTAGAATAAAACAGTCCCAAATCGATTGTCCCTTGGAGATAACGGAATATATGCTTAATTCCATTCCAATGTCTCCTCGTAGGTGTCGAGTTATATCTTGCTAATAAATTGGTAGCGAAAGATATATCTGGTCTGGTACAATTAGCAAGATACATAAGAGCTCCTATGGCACTCATATATGGTATTTCAGGACCAAGTATCTCTTCATCTTCATCTTCATCACAAGGTCGAAATGGATCCTTTTCAACATCTAATGTTCGATTGACCATTGGGGTACTGAGTGGATTAGCCTTGTCCATATTGAATCATTTCAATATTCTTTTAGTGTAACTAGATTGATGGACAAATATCCCATTTTGGACCCGTTTTATTTGCAAGCCGAGACAATATTTGGTCTGTCCGAGATCTTTCATTTCAAATTTGCCTTTTAGTAAAGTGACTGCTTCTTGAATTTCATTTGTAGTCCCAATAATATTAAGATCATCGACATAGACAGCAATTATCACAACTCCATCTTGTGATCTTTTTATAAAAACACACAGGCATATTTTATTATTTATGTATCCCCGTTTAAGCAATTGTTCACTCAAACAATTGTACCACATATGCCCGGATTGTTTCAAGCCATACAATGATCTTTGCAGCTTTATCGCACATAACTCTTTAGGTTTGGACTTTAGTGCTTCGGGCATTCTAATTCCTTCTGGAATTTTCATATAAATGTCAGCGTCTAGTGATCCATATTAGTAAGCAGTCACAACATCCATAAGACGCATCTCAAGATTTTCATGGATGGCCAAACTAATCAAGTATCTGAAAGTAATTGCATCCATAACAGGGGAATATGTTTCATCATAATCGATCCCAGGCCTCTGGGAAAATCTCTGTGCTACAAGGCGAGCTTTATATCTTGTGATCTCATTTTTCTCATTTCTTTTTCTGACAAAAACCCATCTGTACCCAATAGGTTTTATGTCTTTAGGTATAATGGTAATAGGTCTAAACACCTTTCGTTTATTAAGCGAATTTAACTCGGCTTGAAGAGCACCTTTCCACTTGTCCCAATCATGTCTTTTCTGACATGAAATACATACCTCAAACATGGTACCGTAATTATAATCAATGTAGTACTTAGTCTGAGTCCCCACTGGCCTTTCTCGTTTCAAACGTGCCTTTAACTCATTTGGCATATCGGCATTTGCTATTTCTTTTGGAATCTCAATTCGAGCAGGGGCATTTATAGCTGCAACATGTGATTTTGTCACCCTTTTTGTGTCAGTAAATGCATCTGGCAATTGATTTGCAATATTTTGCAGATGTATGATCTTTTGAACTTCTTGCTCTCTTTGTTTGGTGGGAGGATCAAGATATGATAGTGATGATGTTCTCCATTCAATATTTTTCTCAATTGACTTTTCATTCCCACTTAAAGGGGGAAATGATTCTTCATTAAAATGACAATCATCAAACCGAGCTGTAAAAACATCACCTGTTTTTGGTTCAAGGTATTTTATTATTGATGGAGATTCATATCCAACATATATTCTCAACCTTCTTTGAGGCCCCATTTTCGTACGTTGGGGCGGAGAATTGGTACA